ATTGTTCTGTTATGGGAATGACACTTCCGGGTTGTGAGTATTATTGTTCTGTTATGGGAATGGTACTTCCGGGTTGTGAGTTTTATTGTTCTGTTATGGGAATGGCACTTCCGGTATCAGAGTACCATATATTTGAAATGGGTATAGTATGGACTAATGGACTCCACTTAGGCTCACGCCAACTTTGGCTCACTTCATATGACCCAAAAATGCAGCTATTTAAAACAATACTACTCGTCTTAATAAGTTCATAGTTTGTTACCACATAGGGTTTTGCCGTCTTGGTTCCCTGGGCGTATTAAAATGTGTAACAATAAAGGGGAAAAACTTTGTACTATGCAGCCACGCGTGATGGTCAGATGACGAGGGGCAAAAAACAACGATGATTTTTCCTTGTGAGTGCGAGTAACTCTGGGCAGCAAAACTGTTAATAAGAATGAAGGATAAATGCCGTGTCTTGCATAAAACTCTGATGAACATAGTCAAAGGCTTTAGGGTTATTTATGACATCCTTTCTTACTGGAGAAGTAGTCATTAAGCAAAACTAAGTGTTTAAAAACTCAGTAGAATCTCGTAAGCGAACATTTGTCATAGGCTACATCTTGTTAACAATTTCATCTGCTTAATATATGATCAATTGAAGATAATAGTATAACACTAGAGAATTTTTATGCCATCATAGCTGATGATGAATATCTAAGTCAAAATTGTAATAAGTACTGAGATGAAAAACAATCTAAATTTTGTAGTCTCATAAATATATAGCATAGTTCTGCTCGAGAAATCGAGAATATCAGTATTTTAACAAAAGTCATATTCTGTGATTCTTTTCGAAATCTACAAAGAATAGCTTTATATACGGAGTCTTTCATCTAGTGAACATAGAACGTTTTCAAAAGTGAGGTAGTCTTCTTCGAACACATCTTCTGCAAAACTATTTCAGTTCTTCATATGCTATTTTCAATACAAACAGTCACCCATAGTATATTACTCTAGGGAAAATTATTTGTTGACATGCTTCAGAACAAATGGATTCATCAGTAACAGATGTCCATATATCACATAAAATCTTTTCTGCTCTTGAAATAAAATTAGATCTACTGACTGTAAGGATTAACATAAAGGCGTTTTGCTTTTCTTCTCTTAGCAAGAGTCATAAAATATCTCTGCATTGCTGTTTGAAACTTGTAAACAACTTTCTATATAATTCTTATCAATAAATGCTCTCTAAGAAAATACTATTTCTATATTCATAGAAAATTGTCTGAAGAATACTGTTGACATGTAGAAGTATCATGTACAACATTGTGATTTTAGCGTTTCACACTACCATATTTGAACTATCAAAGCTATGTGGATTACCCTGCAGAAGCTAGAATTCTTACCTTGTACTATCATGCAACTTCTTGTATTAGTCAAGGATTTCATGAATACACTTGAGATATGATAGTATGCGTCACATGAATACATAAAATGTGTTCCTTCAGTTTTGATACACATGAAAAGTATTACTTTCTTATGATTCATTTACAGAAATGATTGATATTGACAATATAGACCTATGGGCGACATCTTTACATGTCATATACCAGAACTTGCTAAAGTTCGATGGAAGTTAAATCTTTCTCCTACAAACTATGATTGCAAGAAGCTATTCAAGACCGCTCGACTAAATAAGAATGGAGTTTAAAACTAACTACTACTCTGAGATTGGTTGGCCTCACTTTTACTTTCTAACAGATTTGTCTTCCTGAATTCAATAGCCATTTTCAAGATTTTTACTTCTGACGATGGAACACGACTTTGGAGGGAAGAAGCGCTTCTTAAAAAATCTAGTAACTTTCAAAGAATTTGAATGTAATTGGTGCATTCAGTGTAAAATCATATTGGAGACTAAAATTGAGATCAACTGATTTTAGAGTAATGCTGAACTAATATCTTCATTCGTATTTAGTTGAGTGATCTCGAATTGCTACTTGTTATTCTAGTTTTTCAAAAGGAGATTTAACTTCAATCGAACTCTTGCAGACGTTGAAATTTTTGAACATGTCTGTAATTAATAATTATCTATGAAATGTTACGTGTAGAGGTATCGCCTATATATAGATATTGTTAGTATCCTTTTTTCATTAATGAACACCCTTTATTCATCGCTCAAACATCACTTCATTCTGAATCATGGTATATTTAGTACTGAAAATATATGTACTACAAACTCTTGGAACCACCTTGACATAATAGCAGGAGTGATACGAGTGAAAGTTGTGTTAAAGTAGACTATAGAAATGTTGATAGTTTTCAATGTTAAATAGTTCACAAGATAATATCTTGTTTGCCCACGTTCAGAAAAACCAAGACAACAAAGATTCTATTCTAAAGAGTGAATATAGAATAAACATTTTCTTCTCGCTTTTTTCATAGTGGACCCTAACTCATATATCAAAATAGATAATTGTCTTGATAAAAAATGAAATGAGTGCAAGACTATTCTAAAGATGTTGATTTTGGGGTGGGAATATTTGAAACAATAACGATTAATAAATCTAAGAAATGTAATCTCATTAAACTATTCTCTATTTTACATAAATTACCATATTGTAATGGTTTTACTTTGATAAGACTTATGAAAATTTTCTACAAACAGTTTGTGATCAAATATTTGTTCATAATTAAGGATTAAGTCAAAACTCGTGAGTGTTACAAAATAAGCGTAGTCACATCTCAACAAATCTTGAGAATATGATCAAAGCTGAGAATACTACAAAATGTTTTTATAGAGTAACAACGTTCCAGAGTGTTATCATATACTTATATACGTCATGGGTGTGGGTGGGTGGGTGCAGGTGGCATTTCTGCTAACAACACTCACACCCACACCCTTTTCGACGATCTTGTTTTCGGCGAAGAGCATTACATTCTGTTTGAAGTCAAAGTAAATGAAAATAAGGCCAAAGCAAATGATACTGATTCAGCAATCATGCTTGGTCTATCGCAAAAATTAAAGCACATAAGCTTTGAATCTGTCTTTCAGTCATCATATAATACAAATTATGACCGTGAAAGACAAAAAACTAGAGCATATGTATTAAGTATAATCTCTTTATTCATGTTTTGTTTTTCTTGTTTGAAACACTGCAATGTCAATGATTCAACGAAAAGTGTCTCTACCATACACTGGAAAGAAAATGGTATGAATACTAAGCCAATAAGGGTTTCGTAGGAGATCTACGGTACCTCTAAAAAAGATTCCTAGGCCGCTGAAAATCATTTTGAAGGTGACTTAGGTTCATACGAAACTTTTTTAAAGGTTTCGATTTTTGAAACAAAATGGTTCGATACGGCACCTTTTTTCCAGTGTATATGGCAGTGTTTCAAAAACAACATGGATGAAGACACGTACTCACTACATACATGATCGAGTTTCTTTCACTCATACTTTTTATTGTGTCTGATGATAATCTGACGGTGGATCAAAAGAGTAGATGTTTTCATGTTCATGATAATATGAATATGATTGGCAAATCGGTAAATTTTGCTCTAAATAGAACATCGCTTGATCGATCCAGTTTAAGTTTCTTGTTATATTTTTTTCTATCGTTGCATTACTTAAACCAAAGATTCCTCGCCGGACAATGTTTTAGCTTTAATTTGTTTCATCAGTCAATAGAAGGAAGTGAATGCATGTACTGAACCATAGGCTAAAATATTTACATACATAGCCATATAGTCAACATCTTTGAAAAGTCCTAAATTTTTATTCCAGCGTGAAGATTTCTATCCAGACATAGCTTTTGATGCCCAATGTACTTTTCAGATTGACGTAATTTCCAATGGCGGCAAAATCAATACCTGGTGCTACGTCGGTGTCACGACGTCGGTTAGCGCTTGTAATTGGCATTGATGATTATGAAAACCACCCGATATTAAAAAATCCAAAGAATGATGCGGAAAAGCTGTCATCTCTCTTGCAACGTATTGGTTTTATTATTGATACATCATCATTGGTCAAAACATATGCTGAGATAAAACGTAAGATTCTCGATTTTGAACTTTCAATAGAGCTGAATGATGTGGTCCTATTTTATTTTGCTGGACATGGGGTACAATGGGAAGTATGTATTAAGATTTTTATCATTAAGCTATTTCGCTTTTTCAATGAGCTTTATCTTTGTTACGTCTAGGATCAGAATTATTTAATGCCAAAAGACTTTCCTCAATTTCCTGAAACAAATGAAGCAGATTTAGAAGAAATAGCAGGCATTTTAGAAAAAGGAGTTTTAAAAAAAGAGATGGCTGACATGTTAAAAGCAGACATTTTAAAAAAGAAGATAGCTGGCATATTAAAAATGAAGGCCATCAATGCACAAGATATTCTTAACACGTTGAGTGATCGAAAACCATATGTAACAATATTTCTTTTGGATTGCTGTAGAGAATATGTCTTACGGAATCCTGATTTAAATACACGTGGTCCAAGCTCAAACACGCGCAATTCTAAATCAGCTGGCCTAGCAGCAATGCACAAAGCAGGTGCACTGGTGGCATTTGCTTGTGCACCTGGTACATATGTAGATGATAGACCAAAAGACAAAAATAGTTTATTTATGGAGCATCTTATAAAACACATTGAAACTCCGAATGAAGACATTGTAAATATATTACGTGATGTGATCGATGGAGTGATGGAAGATTCCAATGACACACAGATTCCATTTCTGAGTGTTCAATTACGACACAAAAATATCTATTTGTGTGAGCAAGCTCAAGGTAACAAGAATAGTTCTGAATAGAGTCAGAAAAGAATTGGTAGAAGAATGTTTCATTTGCAAAAATATTTGAAGGAAGACAAAGTCAAGATAGATTTTCCTATATGAAACTAAAAGTGAACTAAACTTCTTCGATATAACTGTTTTTTGTTAAGTAATTTCTACGTTCGTATATAGATATGGATGTGGAAAGAAAGAAAATATCTATGAACTATATCCACACTCACATCTTCTTTTTCTTTGAGAGAAAGAAAAAGATTTTAAAAAACTATCCATAGTTAAAAAAAACTATTGTTATCTCAAAATGACCAGAACTTTTCGTGAACCAACTCGTTATAAGGAGTCAATGTGAAAATGGTAAAAACGGTTTGATTAGCCATCAAGAATGAGTGAAAACAGACAGGATGTGGTTGAAACCGATTCATTTTAAACAATGATTAATATGTTCTTGATGAATAATCAGCTCTTTTCTCACGCATACATATTGAAATGTGTAACCGCGTTTTTCATCTTTAACTTGTCTGCTCTCCTAGGTATATTAAATCTGATGGCACTGTTAATATTCCATTGCAGGATAGACTCCATGTAGTCTTCTTAGTTACAAAAGGTCATGTGCTCGAAAAGAAGTTACGACTCTCAGCCTGCATTTATTTGTACTCAAAAGCAAAATATTCATTTCAACACTCCAATGGGTGTGGGTGTGAATGTATGATATGGGTGCGGTGTGTGAGGTGTGGGTGTGGGTGTGTGAGTATGGACAGGGCGTGGGTGTGTGCCGTGGGTGTGAGTGTGTTTGAGGAAAAGATTAACACCTGCAGCTATATATTCACCCACACCCACACCCACACCCACACCCACACCCACACCCACACCCACCCACACCCACACCCACACCCTATTGTTATGTTTTAAACAATGTGGAAGTAATTGATTCTGATTAAATATCGAATATTGGATAGAAAAATGTGATTTGTTAGAGTTTTAAAATTAGTAAAGTTAACATGTCCTGTCCATTGCTGATTAACGTGAACATACATCTTGGGTGTAGGTTAAGTGAAAATCTGTTTTTGGGTACCACAGTTAGTCATTCTTAATGCTGGTTATCTGGTTCAAAAACCAAATAGTTGGTAATGAATAACATCTGGTATACAGGTTCACGATACTTTCCAATGATATCCCAAATCTGAGAGAAATGTCCCTAAACTAGCAATTACCTATATGCATATTCACCAAGCGGAAGGAGTGCATCTTATCTTTAATAAGAGAGCGAGAAATATACTAGATTTGAAAAGATGTACTTACTCAACTCCACAGAAAATGGTTGAACGAAAACTGATTGATAAATTCGTACTTAGAGAAAAAAATGTTTTTTAAACTAAAACCTTCAACTTCATTGATTAAACTAAACACATAGAGAAAAGTGTGGAATGTGAGTGCCAGCGTAGGGGTGTGGATCTTCTATTCACATACGCTGACACCCCGAGTAGTCTCATCATCTCCCATGTACAATACGAACGATTACTTATTTTTTAGTTCAACCCAAAGTGGAAGCTCCAATATCAGAAAACAATCAATCATGTATGTTTGGTCAAGATACTCAAATTTTATGGAAGTTCAGTGGCATCGGGAAACCACGAGTGGCATGGTTCTTCAATGATCAACCACTTCCAACCAATGATCGTCTACAAGTAACGGAGACTGATGATGGAACATCGATACTAACAATTCGTCAAGCTAAACTTGCTGATGAAGGTGTCTATAAAGCTAAAGCAATCAATGCTTTTGGTGAAGCTGAAGCTCAAACAGCATTAAAAATTGATTGCATCAAACCTGTCATCAACACTAATCTCGATACTGTACTGCAAGTCACAAAATGTGAAATCTTGACGCTAAAAGTCATCGCCAGTGGAACTCCGAAACCTCACGTTGTGTGGATGAGAGACGACAATGAACTTATACCCAATGATCGCATTCAAGTGACGACACCGACTGGTAGCGATGATCAATACACACTTACCATTTTGAATGTACAACCAGAAGATCAAGGTGAATATTCAGTCATGATTTCCAATGTTGGTGGATCACTTCAATCCGATAAGTGTAAAGCTATTGTTTCGAGTAAGTCGTCTTGACTATTCTTGTTCTTGAGTACATATGCTGTTGTAGAATCACCTATGTTTATTATCAAGCCGACGACACAAAAAGTAAAACAAGGTGAGACAGCAGTATTCATGACGACGATTGATGGATATCCAACACCGACTATCACATGGCTTCTCAATGGGAAACTGTTGACATTGAAAGAAGACGTTGAAGTGCAATTCGATGCTGCGACTGGCCAATCGAAGTTGTCTATCCAAAACGTCAATCTTGAACAACATGCTGGTTCAATTACTTGTCGAGTGAAGAGTGAATATGGCGAGCAAGAAGAAACTGTTCGACTTGATATTCTAGTTGCACCAACAATCATCGAAGACTTGCCCATACAACAAGAAATTGTAAGTGGACGAGATATCGCATTGAAAGTCGTTGGAAAAGGATCTCCACGACCATCCGCTCAATGGTTTTTCGGAGGCCAACTCATTGACTGGGAGAATGCGTCGGAAGACGAAACGAAGAATGAATATCAACTAGCGATCAAACAGGCAACAGTGGGAAAGAATGAAGGTACTTATCGAATTGTCTTGAAGAACGAGGTGGGTGAGGTACAATCGACTCCATGTGCAGTTACAGTATTGGAACCAGTGAAGTTGACCCAACTGACACCAGCATCGAATCTAGTTGGCTTGAAAATTGGCGAAAAATTCGAGATCGTTTTGGATGTGAATGGAAAGGAAATACCGGAAGTTCAGCTGACAAAAAATGAAAAAGCAGTGCAGTTCATAAGCGAGGGGACAACACGATATACATTCTCAGTGGCTAATGTAAAGCAAGAAGATCAAGGTATGTACAAGGTGACAGCAAAGAACAAGATTTCAACTGAAGAGATGACTGTCACTCTCAATGTTACTGGTGAGTTTGCCTACATTTCAAAAACAAATCTTGCACCGCATTCATTCTATACACTCTCATGAAACGGAAACTTAATTGTTCTTTCCTGTCATTGTATAGCTGACGTTAGATAAGTTTTGTCACATGCATGAAAACTTCTACTTGTAGTGTAAAACAGAGCGAAAATCTGTAACTGCTATCTTTTTCATTCATATTCAGGCGTAGCACATTCTTCTTAAAGTTCACTACTCGTGAGTTGCATTCAATTAACATAACAAAGACAACAATGTTTCCAAGGTTCGTCCAAATATGATACAGTTCAATAATGCGTCTTTCAATTGTTTTGCAAAGTTTAAATTTTCTCTAGCAATTGAAGATTTTGTAATATTCGTAAAGAACATTAGACATATTCGAATCCAATTGAATCTCTCAATGATAAACTAATAAATTTTAAATATGAACTGCCCATGATATTTGTTTTTATTTTTTTTGGTGGTGGTTGGATGAGGTGTGAGCGCATAGGTGGATGTTGGGTTGGATGTGTCTTCTCTCTATTCGCATCTACACCCGCCCTCGGAAAGAATGGAAAAAGAGTTTCGTCTACAGGTGAATGTCAGAACCGATGTCCATCATGATCTTTATAAATTTATCGAGTCTTTCATGAAAAAAAGTTCGGACTGAGTGTCGTATCTCATTAGAATCATTGAATTTTGAGCATCAAATATGCCCTATGTCGTGTTCTTCGACTGACTTTGATTATTGAGAGGCTTGTGTTTGAGGTGTTAACGATAAAACGCACATATTTTTCAAAAGTGCAGTAGTATTTTGCAGCCTTTTTTGACCATAATTGAATGTTAAACCAAAATCAATAGTATATTCGGAATCAACACAAAAATCTACGTTATATTTTAAACATATTAGCTAAATTCTTTTTCATGAAAAATGTACTTGAAGATGTGCAGTTCCCGTTAGTTGTTGAATACTGATGTCATCGAATCAGTGACTATATGGGCACACTGACATTGCCATCAATGCTCACTGAAGAACTTGAATACACTACTACAACTGAAGCATATTTTGATATACGTAGCTGGTGACCCTAGGTTGCAGCAAGTGTGGATATCAGTGCAAACAATGCTCCAGTGAAGCTTGTATTAGTGATTGACCGTCAGTATTTCAGTATTTACACTAAAACTGCAGATCGCTAAATAATGCTTGATTTTATTACAAGGAATACTTACCAAAAGCAGTTCTGAGAGACTCTCATGTACATTTTTGTAAAAGCATCTGTATCTTAGGATATAAACACATGCTTCGGAAGTTTGTCTAGTTTTACGACTACCATCAGGAAATTACACTTTTCTACAGAATAAAAACAAAATTGAAGAACAATTCAATAAGCATTTTTATGGATCGTGATAGGATGATTCTAAGAGGATGAGACATTAGCCCTTATTTTTTTCTCCGAAAAAATCAAGTTGGATTTACATAAAAATCTACTTAAACCAGTCCAAACGTAGCGGCGGTGGTAGCGAGAGGGTAATTGAGAGGGAGAGTGAAGAGGAAAGCTAATACCTTCACATCAAGCTCTCATACAGTATGCCATCCACATCTCCATGCTTTTTGTTTACATCTACACTCTCACGTTGAACGCAGCCTCCATTTCTTATGTTACAACCGGTGGTATCTGTTTCTACTTAGAGTAAGCCACCAAACAGTAAAAGCAATTAAGTTTTATAGATAATGGTGTTAAAAACCTATTAAGAAATAAATGATTGTTTTGAATTCCAGGTGCTTCGACAAGGAGTGCCGCCGGCATAACCAAAGCAAAAATAGACACGAACTTCAGTAAAGTTCAAGTACGTAATTCAAAGAATTTCTTCGCGATCTGTTTTTTGTGCATACCTATTTCCTTTTGTTCATAGAATGGCACAATTCCAGTAGCCGCCGCCAGCAATGTAAACACTGGTTTTTTCTCAACTATCAAAAAGGTCGGACCATAGTCGCTCTAGGAAACGGACTTTCATTAAACATCTCATACTTTTTAGTTCTTCGGTGTGGAAACCAATCCTCCAGCAACTAAAGGTAAGATACCGTTGATTATCACCTTGAAAGTGAAAATGATTAGTGATGGTAAAATCTATGTAAATAAAATCACTGCCATTTGTTAAACGCTGTGTGCTCACGAAAGAAGTTTGTAAATGATATGATCACTTATCGAAGAGCTTTTCTCATTTGGATATAGTTCGCCTGCGGAGTAACTCGGTTCCTTGCGATAGATTTCATAATTTGTTCATGGGTAGACAGCACATATCCCTTATTAGAATAAGATTTTCATATTTTTTGTATTTCTATCATAACATTCCAGCAAAACCATTTTGACATTTTTTTAAATACAAAGAATGCAAGGACTTTGTTCTCTACAGAAATTTAGTGCCCTCACATTATCTCGAATTAAAGGCTCAGCTCAATTTATTGAATTTGTGCATCTTTTATCGATTAGTTCTTGAAAATGACTTTTAAAAATAAATGGAACTACCAGAAGATCATAATGTGATTGAAAATGAAGTAAAAATCTGAAACAAAATATGATTTTGTGAACATTTTGTAATCATCCAAAGATAAGATGTTTGTTTTCGTTCACTTTCTGAAGGATACCAACGTAGTTGTAATCGTTGTCTCAACAAACGACAAATGTACACATAAGAGTTATTTGAGAACGATAGCCAACAGGATTTCCTTACTTCTTACTTTATTTAGAAGCGTACTTTTGATTTTTTGTCGAAAAAAAACTCTTTTTCTCGAAAATTGGCGATCTGTTCTCTCCAACACTAGCTAATAACCAAATTTTCTTAAAACGATATAAACAGAACAAGTGTTGTTGTTTATATCAACGCTTTGGATTGTTTAGTGGAAAAAACTAGAACTATTAAATCTAGAATTAGAAACAAACATACTTAGATCAGTGAGTTACCTTAACTCTTAAGTGTCTCGATAAAGCGAAGCTATATCTGCATCTTTGACATAAGTGTACATAGATTTTCATCGTTAGTTGGAATCAATCAACTTCTGTTCTGTATCTAATTCTTTTCCATCCAGATTTTAGTAACAATAGAAACATGTGTGAGATGAGTAATTTCAATCTGTATAAACTTATAATAAGAAAATCAGAGCTCGCCGAAAAATTGTTCGATTCACCTTGTAGCATAGTCTTTTCTCAAAGCATGTGCGAATGCTTCTGTGAACGCTTCACTTTTCTTTTTTAGCTTGTTTCATTATCAAGTTTCTTCCAGTTTCATTAATTATTAGAGTACTGGCAGCGATTTAGATTCCTTATGATCAGATTATTATTGTAGTTCGTTAAGTTTGACAGCTTTCTTTATTTCTTTGAATTTCCAAGAGCTACTGTTTACAGATAGGTTCTTGAGTTTCACTGTTCTCTTTATTTCAATAAGTTCTTAGACTTCGTTGAATTTCAATGGCTCGTGCGGTTTGTAAAGTTTCTGAGATTCTTCTCATTAAACATCGCTTTTCAGTTCTAAGAGTTCCTATAATCTCTTAGTTCTCTGATTTCTGTCAAAAATTAAATGTGATGTATTCGTGGTATGTTAGAGTGCTACACTAAACGGGATATGAGGAGATTTTAGGAAGTTCACAGAAGACTGAAATTCGATATTGGGCTCTTGTATTGTACAATAAGTTTTTCTCAACTGCATCCACTTACAGGCCTCGCAGAGCTCCTTCTTTCCTTCTTTTTTCCTTCTTTTTTTAGATCGTCCTTCTTCGTCCTTCTTTTCTCCTAAAATCCTTCTTTTCCTTCTTTTTTACTTTTCATACGAATAGGCTGTGAGAAACATCGAAAACATTGAATAGAAATACCTAGTTAGAATCCAACACTGATAGAGAGCTCTTAAATCTACAGAAAAGGTTTAATTTATCTCAAGTCCAATGAAAAGTTCGTCACACTTGCGCTAACGTACGTATGTGGGTCTTGAATTTACGTGGCATCCACATGCAGAACTTGAGATACGTAAAATGACACTTCTCTGGAATTTGGTCGCTGCAAAACTTTCGGGCATATACTCACGAGGGAAGGTCCCCAACGGACGGACGCCGTTCGATTCCATATTATGGCTATAAG